CACCCCTGTCTCTCCTCTCTCCTCACTCCTCCCCTGTCTCTCCTCTCTCCTCACCCCTCTCTCTCCTCTCTCTCCCCTCTCTCCTCACCCCTCTCTCTCCTCACTCCTCCCCTTCTCTCCTCTCTCCTCTCTCTCCTCACCCCCCTCTCTCCTCACCCCTCTCTTTCCTCTCTCCTCTCTCCTCACTCCTCTCCTCTCTCCTCCCCTTCTTCCTCTCTCCTCCCCTTCTTCCTCTCTTCTCTCTCTCTCCTCACCCCTCTCTCTCCTCACTCCACCCCTTTCTCTCCTCCCCTTCTTCCTCTTCTCACTTCTCTCCTCGCTCCTCTCTCCTCACTCCTCTCCTCACTCCTCTCCCCCCTCTCAGGTCTCCTCCCTCCAGCACCAGGCCTCCTTGTGCCTGGCTCAGTTCGCCCTGGTCCACCTGGGAGCCTCTGGGAGCCTCCTGCAGAACGGGAGCATGGAGCTGAAGACGGTGCTGACCTCCTGCACTCTGGACGACATGCGCCACAGCATGGAGCGGGTCACATCCAGGTACTCCTGCTTGAACCACCTCCTCCTCCTCTTCTCAGGATGGTGGGCCGGGGTGATATCTCCTCTCTCTCCTCTGTCTCTCCTCCTCCTTCTCCTGTAATTGTGTTGGCTGCTCTTTCTCTCTATATTCTCTCTCCTTTTTCTCTCTCCTCCTGACAGTACGTCTTCTTATCCTCTCCTTCTACTGTAATTGTGGTTCTCTTCCTCCTGACATGCCTCCTCCTATCCTCTCCTCTGTCTCTCCTCCCCCTGTATTGGTGGTTTTCTTCCTCCTGACGTGCCTCCTCCTCCTCTCTCTCCTCGGCCTCTCCTCTTCCTGTATCGGTGGTTCTCCTCCTCCTGACGTGCCCCCTCCTCTTCCTCCTCCTCCTCTCCTCCTCCTCTCTCTCCTCTCTCTCCTCGGCCTCTCCTCTTCCTGTATCGGTGGTTCTCCTCCTCCTGACGTTCCTCCTCCTCCTCTCCTCCTCCTCTCTCTCCTCTCTCTCCTCGGCCTCTCCTCTTCCTGTATTGGTGGTTCCCCTCCTCCTGACGTGCCTCCTCCTCCTCTCTCTCCTCTGCCTCTCCTCCTCCTGTATTGTTGGTTCTCCTCCTGACATGCCTCCTCCTCTCTCTCCTCAACCTCTCCTCCTCCTGTATTGGTGGTTCTTCTCCTCCTGACGTGCCTCCTTCTCCTCTCAGGATGGTGGGGAGGCGTGACGAGGGCAGCCCGGAGCCCATGCTGGACCTGAGCGTCCGCAGGAGTCAGGAGGAGATGGAGGTGGTGGCCGTGCTGCAGGAGCTCAGTCTTTGTGCCAGTGTGGAGTTCCTCCTGGCTGTGGGAGAGTTCTTCCTCCAGGCTCTTCCTCAGGGTCAGAGCAGAACTCAGCGAGAGAGTCCAGGAGAGAAACTCCCTCTGAGACAGACCAACGAGCCCCGGGACAGCAGGAGCGGTGAGTTTAATCCTTTAATGTTAACTCCTTGAAGAAAGCAATGTAACTCTTAAGATGTAGGAGCACCAATAACACAAATAGGTTTTTTTAACCCCTTGTGTTTCCTTAGAGGCCTTTACCAAATGGTTGAGATTTAATCGATAAAGTGTCTAAAACCAAGTGAGACTCCCCAAAGACGTAGATTTCAGTTCCAACCTTCAAGTAAATATTGTGACTCAAAAAGTGATCCTCCAAATGGTTTAGGAAAATATTAAAGGGTTAATCCAATGCCTTCCCAGACACACACACACACACACACACACACGCACACACACACACACACACACGCACACGCACACGCACGCACACGCACAGTGTAAATATAAACCGTGTGTGTCCTCAGGCTCCTTGGTGCGGGTGCGTGCGGTGGTGGTGGACCCTGAGGTGGTGTTTGTGGCGTCTCTGATGAAGGCGGATGCTCCGGCGCTCGTCCTGTCCTTTCAGTGTGACTGTTCTCTACTGACCACGACCACCGGGGGGCAGCACATGAAGGCCAACCTGAGGGAGCTGCGGGTCCTGGCCTGCCCCTTCATCAGGGACCAGCGCGAGGCTGCGGTCACTACGGTAAGAGACCTGGGACCAGCACGAGACCAAACTTCGATCTCTTTGAGTAGGTAAGGCAGAGGTTCTAAGTCTCTACCCTCCTGTGATGTCGCATGTTTTTCCAGGTGCTACGTCCTTGTTCTGTGCTGCTGGAGACTGAGACTGACCCTTACAGACCTCTGAGCGGCTCAGTGACCGTGGAGGAGGTCATTGTCAAGGTGACCACTCACACTACCTTACTCACACTCTCGTACTCTCATACTCTTACACTCTTACACTCTCTCACACTCTCTCACACTCTCACACTCTCGTACTCTTACACTCTCTCACACACTCTCACACTCTCATACTCTCGTACTCTTACACTCTCTCACACTCTCTCACACTCTCGTACTCTTACACTCTCTCACACACTCTCACACTCTCATACTCTCATAATCTCTCTCACTCTCACACTCTCACACTCTCACACTCTCTCACACTCTCGTACTCTAAAGGGGCGTTCACACCGGACTTAACTTCGGCGTCAAAAGCGTCAGGTTTGCATTGAAAGTGAATGGTGAAGCGCGTCAGGTGAAGCCGAGGGGCCCGGCGTCACTTGGAGCGCGTCAAAAGCTTCAAGACTCGCGCGTACTACGCGCTCACTTGAAGCTTTTGACGCGCGAAACGCTCGCGTATCAAAACAATCCCTTTGACGCCGAAGCTGAGCAAAGCTGAACTTTTGAAGCTTTGACGCGGGCTTCAACCAATCAGGAGACGAGGAGCAGCAGCAGCAGAGGGTCTGTCTCTGTCATGGAGAGAAGTCATGTATCTGCTGCTGCTGTTTTATTGTCATTATTGTTATTAGTAATATTATTTGTATGAGTAGTAACGTTCTGAGTAACAAAATCATTGTACACATGCTGTGTAGTAAACCTAGTTTATTTAAAATAAGAACAGGCTGACGATGAGTCTGGCTCAGAGCAAGGCAGCTCCGGGCGGGCGAGAGCCGGGGAGAGGCGAGCGAGAGCCGGGGAGAGGCAGGGAGAGGCGAGCGAGAGCCGGGGAGAGGCAGGGAGAGGCGAGAGCGAGCCGGGGAGAGGCGGGGAGAGGCGAGAGCCGGGGAGAGGCAGGGAGAGGCGGGGAGAGGCGAGCGAGAGCCGGAGAGAGGCAGGGAGAGGCGAGCTCCGGGGTTTGAGAACTCAGACTGGGCGAGTGACATGCGGAAGTACCGCTGAAAGCGAAACTCCTCCGTACGCAGCTCCTGGAGTAAATGACGGAACTCTGCAAACACTGCAGCCTCTCAAGTCTGTGGTGAACCCAGAACATGTTTTGTTGAAGCCCTACAACAACGTTATTTTGCTTTATATAACAAATAAAGGCTCGCTGCTCATTGAAAAATCCACCGCTGTCCTGACTACAGGCAACAGAGAAGCTCCTCCCACCGGCGTCAGGCGCGTCACTTGCGTCACTCGCGTCAAAAGCTTCAAGCACCAAAATGACAAAACTATCCCAGCGTCAGTTGAAGCGCGTCAAAAGCTTTTTGAAGCTTTTGGTCTGAACGCGCCTTTACACTCTCTCACACTCTCTCACACTCTCACACTCTCGTACTCTCATAATCTCTCTCACTCTCATACTCTTACACTCTCTCACACACTCTCACACTCTCTCATACACTCATACACTCATACGCTCATAATCTCTCTCACTCTCATACTCTTACACTCTCTCACACACTCTCACACTCTCTCATACACTCATACACTCATACGCTCATACACTCTCACTCTCACACGCTCTTACACGCTCTCACACGCTCTCACACTCTCTCACACTCTCTCACACTCTCATATTCTCTTACACTCTTACACGCTCACACTCTCACACTCCTGTACTCAGGCGACAGTAGCTCAGTTGGTAGAGCATTGGCCTTTGAGCCTGAGGGTCGTGGGTTCAAGCCCGACCTCCACCATCGACTCCCGATGGCACAGACTGGTTGCCTCGCTTCTGTCAGTGTGCCCCTGGGCAGCTGTGGCTACAGTAGTAGTTATCACCACCGTGTCTGGAGTGAAAGAATAATGACATGTAAAGCGTCTTCGAGGGTCCAAAAAAGCGCTATATAAAACCGATGCATTGTTATTATTATTATAATCTCTCTCACTCTCATACTCTCTCACTCTCTCACTCACACTCTGACCATGTTCTCCTGTCTCCCTCAGATCTCCCCTGTGACCCTGAACACAGTGATGACCATAACATCCGCCATGACCTCAGTGAAGGACCAGGACGAGCGGAGCCCAGAGGCTAAACCAGATGTGACGCAGCTGTGGTCAGTGATGGACGTCCACAGCTGCAACCTGTGGTTCCTGGGCGTGGACCAAGGCACCGAGATCACCGAGAGCTACAGGGAGAGCCAGGGAAGCGACCAGGGGGAGAGTTTCAGAGTGGAGGTCAAGGTAAGAGCGGGACCAGAGAGAGGGAGACCAGAGAGGGAGAGAGACCAGAGAGGGAGAGAGACCAGAGAGGGAGAGAGACCAGAGAGGGAGAGAGACCAGAGAGGGAGAGAGACCAGAGAGGGAGAGAGACCAGAGAGGGAGAGAGACCAGAGAGGGAGAGAGACCAGAGAGGGAGAGAGACCAGAGAGGGAGAGAGACCAGAGAGGGAGAGAGACCAGAGAGGGAGAGACACCAGAGAGGGAGAGACACCAGAGAGGGAGAGAGACCAGAGAGGGAGAGACACCAGAGAGGGAGAGAGACCAGAGAGGGAGAGAGACCAGAGAGGGAGAGAGACCAGAGAGGGAGAGAGACCAGAGAGGGAGAGAGACCAGAGAGGGAGAGACACCAGAGAGGGAGAGACACCAGAGAGGGAGAGACACCAGAGAGGGAGAGACACCAGAGTGGGAGAGAGAGAGCAGAGTGTGAGACCAGTATTTGACCTGACCTCTGACCCTCTGTATCTCACTCTGTGTATTTGACCTCTGACCCTCTGTATCTCTCTATATTTGACCCTGACCTCTAACCTCTGACCCTCAGGTGGTGCAGGTCACGCTGGACTCTGGTCTGGGTCACCGCACGGTCCCGCTGCTGTTGGCCGAGTCCTCGTTCACTGGAGAAGCTCGAAACTGGTCGTCTCTTCTGCACCTCACAGCGGACATGACTCTGGAGGTGAGAGACTTGCCTTTGGTCTCTCTCTCTGGTCTCTCTCTCTAGTCTCTCTCTCTGGTTTCTCGTTCTGGTCTCTCTCTGCTCTCTCTGTTCTCTCTCTGGTCTCTCTCGCTGGTCTCTCTCGCTGGTCTCTCGTTTCTCTCTCTGATCTCTCTCTGGTCTCTCTCTGCTCTCTCTGGTCTCAGTCTGGTCTCAGTCTGGTCCCTCTCTTGGTCTCGCTCTAGTCTCTCTCTGGTCTTCTCTCTTTCTGGTCTCTCTGGTCTCTCTCTAGTCTCTTTCTGGTCCTCTCTCTCTGGTCTCTCTCTGGTCTCTCTCTTTGTTCTGGACACACAGCTTTATGAGTGAATACTTTTCTTGGATTCCTGGTTCCGGACTGAGAACCAGAAAGACCGGACTCCCGAGACCACCGGACTCCCGAGACCACCGGACTCCCGAGACCACCGGACTCCCGAGACCACCGGACTCCCGAAACCACCGGACTCCCGAGACCACCGGACTCCCGAGACCACCGGACTCCCGAGACCACCGGACTCGCGAGACCGGACTCCCGAGACCACAGGACTCGCGAGACCGGACTCCCGAGACGACCGGACTCTGACGGTTTCTGTGTTTTCAGGTGAATTACTTTAACGAGCTGCACGCCGTGTGGGAGCCGCTGATCGAGAGAGTGGAGAGTGGATCGAGGAGGTGGACCCTGGCTCTGGAGGTGATGTCACACTCTTTAGGAGTCCAAGCCCGTCTCAGTTTATACATCACATTTGACTGGATCTATTTGAGTAGATATACCAGCTTTCTGCCAGCTTCGTGTGTATTGAAAAAAGACGATTAAACATTTAGAAACATGTAAGAAGTAAGATTAAGACAAATGTGAAAATGGTTCTACTACAGTTCTCTGGACACACTTTAGTTTAGTTTTAGGGATTAGTTTTATACTTTAATGTGACAAGGAGGAGATGTGTCTGCAGCTGAGGCCTGTGCGTCCTTAGACCAAAGTCCTGCTTCATACTTATTTATTTCAGGACAGTGACCCTCACACACGGAGGAGGCCCAGTCCTCCCTGGGGTTTGAGTCTGGTCTTTGGCACCAGGAGCTTGAGCTGGTCCTCAGTAGATTTGATGAAAGATCTGAGACTTACTCTGGGCTCGTTCCTTTCAAAGCTTTAAAAACTAACAATGAAATCTCAAAATCAATTCTAAAGAGCATTTGAGAATGAGCTGAGGAGCTGGAGGCCTCAAAGATCAAAGCTCTCTCCTTCGTCTCCTGTGTCTCCTGCGTCTCCTGTGCCTCCTGTGTCTCCTGTGTATCCTGCGTCTCCTGCGTCTCCTGTGCCTCCTGTGTCTCCTGTGTATCCTGCGTCTCCTGCGTCTCCTTCGTCTCCTGTGCCTCCTGTACCTCCTGTGTCTTCTGTGTCTCCTGTGTATCCTGCGTCTCCTGCGCCTCCTGTACCTCCTGTGTCTCCTGTGTATCCTGTGTCTCCTGTGTCTTCTTCGTCTCCTGTGTCTCCTGTGTCTTCTTCGTCTCCTGTGTCTCCTGTGTCTTCTTCGTCTCCTGCGTCTCCTGCGTCTCCTGCGTCTCCTGTGTCTCCTGTGTCTTCTTCGTCTCCTGTGTCTCCTGTGTCTTCTTCGTCTCCTGTGTCTCCTGCGTCTCCTGCGACTCATGCGTCTCCTTCGTCTTCTCTTCCTCGTCTTCTTCGTCTCTTTCGTCTCCTCCGTCTCCTGGAGGATCTCTGTAACATGTTTTTTGTCCTGGTCCAGATGAAGAACAACCCGGTGATGGATCGGAGCCCGGTCCACGGCGATGAGTTCGTGATCCTCCCGGAGCCTCGCACCGCGGTCTCCATCTGCTCCAAAGACACCATGAACATCACACTCTCCCAGAGCTGCCTGCAGGTGCTCCGCTCCCTGGCCAAGGTAAGGATACTGACCCAGCACCTCCCTGCAGGGTGTGAGGAGGAGGGTCTGAGGAGCAGGTGAAGGGTCTGAGGAGGAAGGTCTGAGGAGGAGGAGGTGAGGAGGAGGGTCTGAGGAAGAAGTGAAGGGTCTGAGGAGGAGAGACCAGCTGAAGGGTCTGGGAGGAGGGTCTAAAGAGGAGGAGGTGAAGGGTCTGAGGAGGAAGGTCTGAGGAGGAGGTGAGGAGAAGGGTCTGAGGAAGAAGTGAAGGGTCTGAGGAGGAAGGTCTGAGGAGGAGGTGAGGAGGAGGGTCTGAGGAAGAAGTGAAGGGTCTGAGGAAGAGAGAGCAGCTGAAGGGTCTGAGGAGGAGGGTCTAAAGAGGAGGAGGTGAAGGGTCTGAGGAGCAGAGATCAGCTGAAGGGTCTGAGGAGGAGAGAGGAGGTAAGATAAGAATTCCTTTAGGAGGTGAGGAGGAGGGTCTGAGGAGGAAGGTCTGAGGAGGAGGTGAGGAGGAGGGTCTGAGGAAGAAGTGAAGGGTCTGAGGAAGAGAGAGCAGCTGAAGGGTCTGAGGAGGAGGGTCTAAAGAGGAGGAGGTGAAGGGTCTGAGGAGCAGAGATCAGCTGAAGGGTCTGAGGAGGAGAGAGGAGGTAAGATAAGAATTCCTTTAGGAGGTGAGGAGGAGGGTCTGAGGAAGAAGTGAAGGGTCTGAGGAGGAGAGAGCAGCTGAAGGATCTGAGGAGGAGAGAGCAGCTGAAGGGTCTGAAACAAACTGACTTTACAGTTGACCAATCAGGATCAGAGAGCAGTTGTCACATGACTGTCCACGGATTTTAGTGGTTTTTGAGACTTAACAAACGTGTATTTTGAGACTATATTTAAGTTGATGAGGTATTTCTGAGTATTTCTCCAATTCTTCCTCTTCAGGAGTTTTCCGAAGGCACCGCGTCCACATTCGACTTCACCCAGAGAGAGAAACCCCCCTTCACCATCCGCAACGCTCTGGGCATCCCTCTGATCGTGCAGCACAGCGCCAACCTGAGGCCAGTGGAGGGAGTGCAGAAGGGCAAGCTGCACGAGCTGAAAGAGGAGCACAGCATGGACCTGGACTACTCCACGTTCGAGCCACTGTCCAGAGGGAAACTATCGGCTCTACAACGACAAGAGAGCTGCCTGTTCCACCTCAGCATCGGTCAGTATCAAAGATCTACAGAGACAAGAGAGCTGTGTGTTCCACCTCAGCATCGGTCAGTATCAAAGATCTACAGAGACAAGAGAGCTGTGTGTTCCACCTCAGCATCGGTCAGTATCAAAGATCTACAGAGACAAGAGAGCTGTGTGTTCCACCTCAGCATCAGTCAGTATCAAAGATCTACAGAGACAAGAGAGCTGCGTGTTCCACCTCAGCATCAGTCAGTATCAAAGATCTACAGAGACAAAAGAGCTGCGTGTTTCTCGTCCCCATGACACATGAGAGAAAAAAACATCCATAAAATATAAAATCCTTCTGCTCTGGTCCTGACCAAACCGAGCATCAACATCTGGAGGTGGTTCCCGGAGGTGGTTCCCCCCTCCGGGAACGGAGGGGGGAAGGAAAGGAATGGAACCCCCCTAACCCCAAAACCTACGATACATTTCCTCATTTCCTTCCTACTTCCCATGTCAAGTTCCACGAGAAGAAAAGGCGATTTTAGCAATTGTTGATTTTGCCGAATAACGTAAAAGTGATAAGTTTAAAGTCCCTCGTGTATGTCCTCGGCCGTCTCCAGGGGAACAGTCTATAATCGTCCTCTGTTCTTCGCCGCAGTCCCGTCCGGTTACAGTGAGATCTCCAACATCGCCGTGGACCGTCCCGGCAGACGCCTCTACAACGTCCGCGGCCCTGAGCTGCAGGAGGCCGTGTCCGTGCTGCTGCAGATTGACGCTGTGGAGGGGAACAAGGTCATCACTGTGAGGGCGCCCCTGCAGGTGAGGAGGAGATACTGCAGACTGTAGGACTGCTGTGGAAGAGACCACAGAATATTTAAATGAGTCCAATTCTGTTTTTAACTGTTTTCTGTATAATGTGATTGTCACTGGTCTCTCGTGTCGATCTCTGGCCTCACTCACTGGTCTCTCTTTGGTCTCACACACTCTCTCTCTCTCTCTCTCGATCTCTCGGTCTCTCGATCTCTCTCTCTCTCGGTCTCTCTCTCGATCTCTCCCTCGGTCTCTCTCTCGGTCTCTCTCTCTGTCTTTCTCTCGGTCTCTCTCTCTGGTCTCTCTCTGGTCTCTCTCTCTGGTCTCTCTCTGGTCCTTCTCTAGTCTCTCGCTGGTCTCTCTCTGGACTCTCTATGGTCTCTCTCTGGTCTCTCGTTGGTCTCTCTCTGGTCTCTCGTTGGTCTCTCTCTGGTCTCTTGTTGGTCTCTCTCTGGACTCTCTATGGTCTCTCTCTGGTCTCTCGTCGGTCTCTCTCTGGTCTCTCGTTGGTCTCTCTCTGGTCCCTGGTCTCTCTCTGGTCTTTCTCATTAACCTGAAGCTAGTACAGTCATCCTGAGCCTTGAACCTTTGTGTTTGTGTTCAGATCAGAAACCACTTCTCCGTTCCCTTCTCCGTGCTGAGGTACTGTCCCGCCTCCAGAGACCTGCAGTCGCTGGGACAAGCCGAGCCCGAGAAGGACTTCCACATCCCCCTGGAGGCCTACAGGTGAACTGCATCCTCACGCTCAGACCCCAGATGAACCTGTTAGATGTTCCTGGTCTCCTCACGTGTCGTTATGTGCAGGGGTTCTTCTGGTCCTCCCTCTCCTGAATCCAGTTTGCTCTTCTCTCTTACCCCAAACCTCTCTCTGCAGGTCTCAGCTCTTCGTGCGTCCAGCCGGGGCCCTGGAACCGCACTATGGGCCGTCCCTCAGCTGTGTGTCCTGGAAAGAGCAGGTCCACCGCAGTGCAGAGGTAATCAGACTGTACGACGAGTGTTAGCAGCTCCAGAGCCCGTCTGAATGTCAGAAATCATTGTTTGTATAATTAACCAGTGAATAAACATACAGTCTTAGCTCAAATAACTCATGATTGGATGTACGAAATAGGAAGTAGAAACGTCAGAGTGCAGGGTTTGACTTGACCACATTTTACTTCAGGATAACAGGTGGCAGGTTTGTAAAGTGAGTGGGTGAAAAGTGGCCTATTATTGAATGGTAACTATTCTGAGAAAAAAAATAGTTATATTTCATTCCTCCTAACCACCAGAGGGCGGTGCATAGCCCTGAATGTTCCCTTCGATTTGTATGTGACCGCTCTGGATGACCCCCGGAGGTAATATAGTCCAGTGTATAGCAGTGGGGGCAGGTCCCAGCGCAAAAGTGGCCAAAATGACGTGCGCTGACATGTTGCAATACCACCCCGGGCCGATGGGGGTGGACCCAGAAGAAGAATTAGCCAATGTTAACATATAGCATTGGCAGACCTCTCAAAAACGTCTTTACAGGATGGACCAAAAGTTGGCTCTTGGCCCAAAGCTCCGTTCCACATGTGTGTCAATGCTGAGGGGGGTGGATTTTTGGTCCACTCTAGTTCACTCGCTGTGAATTTTTGAAGTCTCGCGTTCAAATGAATGGAGCTGCGCCGGCTGACGCATGCGCAGATGCATTTTTTCACAATTTTCTTTTTCCATTTTGGATAGCTCCAGTAGAGCACATTTTTTGGCCCATTAGTTAGAACGGCGGAAAGAGGCGTGACCCTGTCCGTTAATATATACAGTCTATGGCGTATAGTCATCCATCACTTTGTTCTTGCAGAATCCTCTCGCGGAAACGCAAGGATCCTGAGACAGAGCGCCTCTGGTGGTCATCCGGGAATCATAGAACCGTGGTTACATCAGTAACCTTTGATTAATGTAGTCCTGTGTGTGTTTGCGTGTTTGTGTGTCTGAGTGTCAGAGTGTTCCGTGTTAATCGTGACACCCCCCCACGTCTGCAGGTGTCCTCTCAGCTCCAGTGTCCCGCCTCAGACCCCGGGATGCTTCCTCTCATGGTGAACACTGTGGCCGTCCCGGACCAGCTGCAGCACATCGCTAACCACGGGGAGCAGGACTGGGACCCGGCCTACGTCATCCACCTGCAGCCTGTGGCCACGCTCCGCAACCTGCTGCCCTACACTGTGCGCCACCTGCTGGAGGTGAGGGGGACTACACCCTCAAAGGACATGTGGTTTTCTCTGTTCAAATGATAGTGAGGCGATAAAATAGAGACCAGAGAGGATAACTAACCTCATCCCCTCTCTCTCTGGTCTCTCTCTGGTCTCTCCCTGGTATCTCTCTGGTCTCTCTCTGGTCTCTCCCTGGTATCTCTCTGGTCTCTCTCTGGTCTCTCTCTGGTCTCTCCCTGGTCTCTCTCTGGTCTCTCTCTCTCTCACACGTCTGTTCTCTTTTCTCACGTCTCTCAGATCTCGCTGGTCCTCTCTCTCTGCTCTCTCTTCCCTCTTTGCTCTCTTCTCTATCCCCCTCTTCACTCTTTCTAGTCTAACCCCGGTCTCTCCTCCTCAGAGCTGCGCTGACTCCTTCGAGCTCCCCGAGGGCAGCTCCTCGGACCTCCTGAATGCTCGCATCGGCGGTGAGATGCTGTCGGTGGTGTTGCGGTCGTACCAGGGCCGGGACTGGCACGGACACCTGCGCATCCAGCCCGAGCTGCCCGAGTTTGTGTGCGTGGCCCTGCAGTGCGACTCCGACCCCTCGGCGAGCGTGGACGTGAGCGTGCACGTGTCCTGCAGCTCCGGGCGCCTCCTGCTCTCTCTCTTCAGCCCGTACTGGATCATCAACAAAACCACGCGTGTGCTGCAGTACCGCGCTGAGGACGTGAGCGTGAAGCACGCGGCCGACAGCAGAGACATCGTCCTCTTCTCCTTCAAGAAGAAGAGTCTGTTCAGCAAGAGCAAGGTGCGAGGGAGGCGAGGCTCGCTCTGGTCTCTCTTTGGTCTCTCTTTGGTCTCTCTCTGATCTCTCTCTGGCCTCTCTCTGGTCTCTCTCTCTGGTCTCTCTCTCTGGTCTCTCTCTCTGGTCTCTCTCTGGTCTCTCTCTCTGGTCTCTCTCTGGTCTCTCTCTGGTCTCTCTCTGGCCTCTCTCTGGTCTCTCTCTCTGGCCTCTCTCTGGTCTCTCTCTCTGGCCTCTCTCTGGTCTCTCTCTCTGGCCTCTCTCTGGTCTCTCTCTCTGGTCTCTCTCTGGTCTCTCTCTCTGGTCTCTCTCTCTGGTCTCTGGTCTCTGGCCTCTCTCTGGTCTCTCTCGGGTCTCTCTCTCTGGTCTCTCTCGGGTCTCTCTCTGGTCTCTCTCTCTGGCCTCTCTCTGGTCTCTCTCTCTGGTCTCTCTCTGGTCTCTCTCTCTGGCCTCTCTCTGGTCTCTCTCTGGTCTCTCTCTGGTCTCTCTCTGATCTCTCTCTGGCCTCTCTCTGGTCTCTCTCTCTCTCTCTGGTCTCTCTCTGGTCTCTCTCTGGTCTCTCTCTGGTCTCTCTCTGGCCTCTCTCTGATCTCTCTCTGATCTCTCTCTGGTCTCTCTCTCTGGTCTCTCTCTCTGGTCTCTCTCTCTGGTCTCTCTCTGGTCTCTCTCTCTGGTCTCTGGTCTCTGGCCTCTCTCTGGTCTCTCTCGGGTCTCTCTCTCTGGTCTCTCTCGGGTCTCTCTCTGGTCTCTCTCTCTGGCCTCTCTCTCTGGTCTCTCTCTGGTCTCTCTCTCTGGTCTCTCTCTGGTCTCTCTCTGGCTCTCTCTCTGATCTCTCTCTGATCTCTCTCTGGCCTCTCTCTGGTCTCTCTCTCTGGTCTCTCTCTCTGGTCTCTCTCTGGTCTCTCTCTGGTCTCTCTCTCTGGCCTCTCTCTGATCTCTCTCTGATCTCTCTCTGGCCTCTCTCTGGTCTCTCTCTCTGGTCTCTCTCTCTGGTCTCTCTCTGGTCTCTCTCTGGTCTCTCTCTGGTCTCTCTCTGGCCTCTCTCTGATCTATCTCTGGTCTCTCTCTGGTCTCTCTCTCTGGTCTCTCTCTGGTCTCTCTCTGGTCTCTCTCTCTGGTCTCCTTCTGGTCTCTCTCTCTGGTCTCTGGCCTCTCTCTGGTCTCTCTCTGGCCTCTCTCTCTGGTCTCTCTCTCTGGTCTCTCTCTCTGGTCTCTCTCTGATCTCTCTCTGATCTCTCTCTGGTCTCTCTCGGGTCTCTCTCTCTGGTCTCTCTCGGGTCTCTCTCTGGTCTCTCTCTCTGGTCTCTCTCTCTGGCCTCTCTCTGGTCTCTCTCTGGTCTCTCTCTGGTCTCTCTCTGGTCTCTCTCTGGTCTCTCTCTGGCCTCTCTCTGATCTCTCTCTGGCCTCTCTCTGGTCTCTCTCTGGTCTCTCTCTGGTCTCTCTCTGGTCTCTCTCTGGTCTCTCTCTGGTCTCTCTCTGGTCTCTCTCTGGTCTCTCTCTGGTCTCTCTCTGGTCTCTCTCTGGTCTCTCTCTCTGGTCTCTCTCTCTGGTCTCTCTCTGGTCTCTCTCTGGCCTCTCTCTGGCCTCTCTCTGATCTCTCTCTGGTCTCTCTCTGGCCTCTCTCTGGTCTCTCTCTGGTCTCTCTCTGGCCTCTCTCTGATCTCTCTCTGATCTCTCTCTGGTCTCTCTCTGGTCTCTCTCTCTCTGGTCTCTCTCTGTTCAGAGTCTATAATTTGTTGTATGTTTTCCTGGTTTCAGCTCCAGTTGAGGATCTCCACGAGCTCCTGGTCTGAGCCCTTTTCTCTGGACACTGTGGGGAGCTACGGCTGCGTGCGCTGTCCAAGCACCAACATGGACTTCCTGGTGAACCACACACCTCTCTTCTCTCCTTCTCTCCTCTCCTCTCTCTTTCTCTCCTCTGTCCTCTGTCCTCTCTCCTCTGTCCTCTATCCTCTCTCTCCTCTCTCTTCTCCTCTCCTCTCTTTCTCTCCTCTGTCCTCTCTCCTCTCTCCACTGTCCTCTGTCCTGTCCTCTCTCCTCTGTCCTCTCTCCTCTGTCCCCCCCTTCTCTCCTCTCCTCTCCTCTCCTCTCTTTCTCTCCTCTGTCCTCTCTCTTCTCTCCTTCTCTCCTCTCCTCTCTCTTTCTCTCCTCTGTCCTCTGTCCTCTCTCCTCTGTCCTCTCTCCTCTCTCCTCTCTCTCCTCTCCTCTCCTCTTTCTCTCCTCTGTCCTCTCTTTCTCTCCTCTGTCCTCTCTCTTCTCTCCTCTGTCCTCTCTCCTCTGTCCTCTGTCCTATCCTCTCTGCTCTCTCCTCTCTCCTCTGTCCTCTGTCCTGTCCTCTCTCCTCTGTCCTCTCTCCTCTGTCCTCTGTCCTGTCCTCTCTCCTCTCTCCTCTCTCCTCTCTCCTCTGTCCTCTGTCCTGTCCTCTCTCCTCTGTCCTCTGTCCTGTCCTCTCTCCTCTCTCCTCTGTCCTCTGTCCTGTCCTCTCTCCTCTCTCCTCTCTCCTCTGTCCTGTCCTCTCTCCTCTCTCCTCTGTCCTCTGTCCTGTCCTCTCTCCTCTCTCCTCTCACACCCGTCCTCCCCCCTCTCCCTCTTCTCTCATTGCTGTGATGTGTCCTGTGCGTTGCCAGGTTGGTGTGGGGATCCAGATGAGCAGCTTTAACCTGACCCGTATCGTGAGCATGAGTCCGTTCTTCACTGTGGTCAATAAGACCTCGTTTGAGCTGGAGGTGGGAGAGATCCTCGGGCCCAGCTCCGTACGCTGGCACTACATGGCTTCAGCTGAGGTTAGCTTTGCTGCTAACTCGGCTGCACTATTCTGTCCACATTACGCATGAGAGAGAGCAGAGAAAGAGAGCAGAGAGAGGTACCAGAGAGAGAGAGGTACCAGAGAGAGAGAGGTACCAGAGAGAGAGAGGTACCAGAGAGAGGTACCAGAGAGAGAGCAGAGAGAGAGAGAGAGAGAGAGGTACCAGAGAGAGAGCAGAGAGAGAGAGAGAGAGAGAGGTACCAGAGAGAGAGAGAGAGAGAGAGAGAGAGAGAGAGGTACCAGAGAGAGAGCAGAGAGAGGTACCAGAGAGAGAGAGAGAGAGAGGTACCAGAGAGAGAGAGAGAGGGGTACCAGAGAGAGAGCAGAGAGGTACCAGAGAGAGAGGTACCAGAGAGAGAGAGAGGTACCAGAGAGAGAGAGAGAGGTACCAGAGAGAGAGAGGTACCAGAGAGAGAGAGGTACCAGAGAGAGAGAGGTACCAGAGAGAGAGAGAGACCCAAGAGAGACCAGAGAAAGACCAGAGGTACCAGAGAGAGAGAGAGAGAGAGAGAGAGAGGTACCAGAGAGAGAGAGAGAGGTACCAGAGAGAGAGAGAGGTACCAGAGAGAGAGAGAGAGGTACCAGAGAGAGAGAGAGAGGTACCAGAGAGAGAGAGAGAGAGAGAGAGAGGTACCAGAGAGAGAGAGAGGTACCAGAGAGAGAGAGAGAGAGGTACCAGAGAGAGAGAGAGAGAGAGGTACTAGAGAGAGATGTACCAGATAGAGATTTACCAGAGAGAGAGAAAGAGAGAGAGAGCAGAGAGAGATGTACTAGAGAGAAAGAGCGAGCAGAAAGAGTAGAGAGAGAGAGCAGAGAGAGGGAGGGAGGTTCAGAAAGAGGTGTCCAGGAGAGTCCTGGGACAGTCACGCTGGTGTCTCTGGTCCTAAAAAACCTGTCTCTCTCCTTCTTCAGTGCGAGCCTCTGTGGCCTGAGAAACCCTCTGGACAGCTCTGTGTTCGCGTCGTCGGCTCAGACTTTCCCTCCAGACCCTTTTTCTTCAACAAACAGGACAGTGGGACTCTGCTCAAACTGGACCTGGTGAGTTCTGAGGCCAAAGGTTTAACTACAGAGTGACAAGACCAGAGTGACGAGACCAGAGTGACGAGACCAGAGTGACGAGACCAGAGTGACGAGACCAGAGTGACGAGACCAGAGTGACGAGACCAGAGTGACGAGACCAGAGTGACGAGACCAGAGTGACGAGACCAGAGTGACGAGACCAGAGTGACGAGACCAGAGTGACGAGACCAGAGTGACGAGACCAGAGTGACGAGACCAGAGTGACGAGACCAGAGTGACGAGACCAGAGTGACGAGACCAGAGTGACGAGACCAGAGTGACGAGACCAGAGTGACGAGACCAGAGTGACGAGACCAGAGTGACGAGACCAGAGTGACGAGACCAGAGTGGACGAGACCAGAGTGACGAGACCAGAGTGACGAGACCAGAGTGACGAGACCAGCGTGACGAGACCAGCGTGACGAGACCAGCGTGACGAGACCAGCGTGACGAGACCAGCGTGACGAGACCAGCGTGACGAGACCAGAGTGACGAGACCAGAGTGACGAGACCAGAGTGACGAGACCAGAGTGACGAGACCAGAGTGACGAGACCAGAGTGACGAGACCAGAGTGACGAGACCAGAGTGACGAGACCAGAGTGACGAGACCAGAGTGACGAGACCAGAGTGACGAGACCAGAGTGACGAGACCACCAGAGTGACAGACCAGAGTGACGACGAGACCAGACCAGAATTTTGAAATGATAAAGAATCACTAACTATGAGGGAGAAAAGAGTTTGTGTTTTAGTCATGAACTCAAAAATACGGAACAGAAATGTCTGTTTCTGCCTGTTTTGTAAACTTTTAACAAACAACAGACGTCTTCTTTCTTCCCCTCCCCCCTCTCTCTCCTCTCTTTGTGCTCTCTCCTTTCTCACCCCTCTTTTTGGTCCTCTATCCTCTCTCTCTTTCCTCATCCGATTTGTCTCCTCTCCACCCTCTCACCTCTCCTTCATCTCTCCTCTCCCTCCACTCTCCCATATCCCCCCTCTCCTTTCTCCTCTCTCTCCTCCCCCCCCCCCCCCCCCCCCTCCTCCTCCCCCTCCCTCCCTCAGTGTGGGGGTATCATAGTGGAGACCTCCATAGCGGACCACTCCACAGTCATCAGTCTCAGTGATTATTACGAAGGTTCTGCTCCTGCTCTGATCATCAACCACACGCCTCAGGCCCACATCTGCTACAGACAGAGGTACTGACCGCCCGGACCATGGACTGGACCGAAATGGGTGGGACCATGGTAGAACATGAATGAATGAATGAATGGATATACAGTACATAAAGCAGGCACAGGTTTGGAGCTGTTATAACAAAGGTACTAAAACACAGTCTGTACCTGAGCTTTTCTAATTTAAGGACATCTACTTAAAACTTCTTCAACTGGTGATAGAAATGTGTGGCTTGTGTGCACGTGATTATCTCTCTGGTCCCTCTCTGGTCTCTCTCTGGTCTCTCTTTCTGGTCTCTCTCTGGTCCCTCTCTCTGGTCTCTCTCTGGTCTCTCTCTGTTCTCTTTCTCTGCTCTCTCTGGTCTCTCTCTGGTCCCTCTCTCTGGTCTCTCTCTGGTCTCTCTCTGTTCTCTTTCTCTGCTCTCTCTGGTCTCTCTCTGGTCCCTCTCTCTGGTCTCTCTCTGGTCTCTCTCTGGTCCCTCTCTGGTCTCTCTCTGGTCTCTCTCTGGTCCCTCTCTCTGGTCTCTCTCTGGTCTCTCTCTGGTCCCTCTCTGGTCTCTCTCTGGTCTCTCTCTGGTCCCTCTCTCTGGTCTGTCTCTGGTCTCTCTCTGGTCTCTCTCTGGTCTCTCTCTGGTCTCTCTCTGGTCCCTCTCTGGTCCCTCTCTCTGGTCTGTCTCTGGTCTCTCTCTGGTCTCTCTCTGGTCCTTCTCTGGTCTCTCTCTGTTCCCTCTCTGGTCTCTCTCTTGAAATGTACAGTTTGTTTTTAAACTAGAATCAAATCTTTTGGGGCTAGTATTATTTTCAGAATTCAGTCATATTTCCTCCTTCTAATGGATAATTTGTATTTATTTTTTCCAGCGTATTGTGGGTCATTTTCAGAACGTAACCCTGCGATAAACCAGGACCCAGTGCACATGGTTTAGGGATCATAGTATGTTGATGAAGTGGAGTTTTCTGGTCCGTTCTGAGACCAGTGTCTTCTCTCCTCAGTGGATCTGCAGAAGCGCACGAGCTCAGACCTGGACAGGCCCAAAGGTTTGTGTGGGACGACCCCACCTCCACCCGCTCTCTGAGGTGGAGCCACCAGGGCCAGACCGGGGAACTGGACCTGCTCCAGGTGAGAGGCCGAGGGAGAGAGAGACCAGAGTGTGTGAGAGACCAGAGTGTGTGAGAGACCAGAGTGTGTGAGAGACCAGAGTGTGTGAGAGACCAGAGTGTGTGAGAGACCAGAGTGTGTGAGAGACCAGAGTGTGTGAGAGACCAGAGTGTGTGAGAGACCAGAGTGTGTGAGAGACCAGAGTGTGTGAGAGACCAGAGTGTGTGAGAGACCAGAGTGTGTGAGAGACCAGAGTGTGTGAGAGACCAGAGTGTGTGAGAGACCAGAGTGTGTGAGAGACCAGAGTGTGTGAGAGACCAGAGTGTGTGAGAGACCAGAGTGTGTGAGAGACCAGAGTGTGTGAGAGGCCAGAGTGCGTGAGAGACCAGAGTGCGTGAGAGGCCCGAGTGCGTGAGAGGCCCGAGTGCGTGAGAGGCCCGAGTGCGTGAGAGGCCCGAGTGCGTGAGAGGCCCGAGTGCGTGAGAGGCCCGAGTGCGAGAGAGGCCCGAGTGCGAGAGAGGCCCGAGTGCGAGAGAGGCCCGAGTGCGAGAGAGGCCCGAGTGCGAGAGAGGCCCGAGTGCGAGAGAGGCCCGAGTGCGAGAGAGGCCCGAGTGCGAGAGAGGCCCGAGTGCGAGAGAGGCCCGAGTGCGAGAGAGGCCCGAGTGCGAGAGAGGCCCGAGTGCGAGAGAGGCCCGAGTGCGAGAGCGAGAGAGGCCCGAGTGCGAGTGCGAGAGAGGCCCAGGTGCGAGAGAGGCCCGAGTGCGCGAGAGGCCCGAGTGCGCGAGAGGCCCGAGTGCGCGAGAGGCCCGAGTGCGAGTGCGAGAGAGGCCCGAGTGCGAGTGCGAGAGAGGCCCAGGTGCGAGTGCGAGAGAGGCCCGAGTGCGAGTGCGAGTGCAAGAGAGGCCCGAGTGCGAGTGCGTGAGAGGCCCGAGTGCGAGAGAGGCCCGAGTGCGAGAGAGGCCCGAGTGCGAGAGAGGCCCGAGTGCGAGAGAGAGGCCCGAGTGCGAGAGAGGCCCGAGTGCGAGAGAGGCCCGAGTGCGAGAGAGGCCCGAGTGCGAGAGAGGCCCGAGTGCGAGAGAGGCCCGAGTGCGAGAGAGGCCCGAGTGCGAGAGCGAGAGAGGCCCGAGTGCGAGTGCGAGAGAGGCCCAGGTGCGAGAGAGGCCCGAGTGCGCGAGAGGCCCGAGTGCGCGAGAGGCCCGAGTGCGAGTGCGAGAGAGGCCCGAGTGCGAGTGCGAGAGAGGCCCAGGTGCGAGAGTGCGAGAGAGGCCCGAGTGCGAGTGCGAGTGCAAGAGAGGCCCGAGTGCGAGTGCGTGAGAGGCCCGAGTGCGAGAGAGGCCCGAGTGCGAGAGAGGCCCGAGTGCGAGAGAGGCCCGAGTGCGAGAGAGGCCCGAGTGCGAGAGAGGGAGAGAGGCCCGAGTGCGAGAGAGGGAGAGAGACCCGAGTGCGAGAGAGGCCCGAGTGCGAGAGAGGGAGAGAGACCCGAGTGCGAGAGAGGCCCGAGTGCGAGAGACGGAGAGAGACCCGAGTGCGAGAGAGGCCCGAGTGCGAGAGAGGGAGAGAGGCCCGAGTGCGAGTGTGTGAGAGAGACCCGAGTGCGAGTGTGTGAGAGAGACCCCAGTGCGAGAGAGGCCCGAGTGTGTGTGTGTGTGAGAGAGACCCGAGTGCGAGAGAGGCCCGAGTGTGTGTGTGTGAGAGAGACCCGAGAGACCAGAGCGAGTGAGAGACCATTCAGACCTTCACAATCCAGCCGTGTCTTACATTGAAAGCTTTCATGCGTTGCCAGGACGACATGGGCCAGTTCCCCTGCGGGCCGCTGTCTCAGGTCCACTGGGTCAGTTTCCTGGATGGGCGTCAGCGTGTTCTGCTGTTCACCGAGGACTTGGCTGTAGTGACCAAAGCTCGCCAGGCGGAGGAGCTAGAGCAGTCTGAGCAGGAAGTGAAGGTCTCTCTGCAGAACCTGGGGCTGTCACTGGTCAACAACTGCAGCCGGCAGGAGATCGCTTACATCGGCATCACCAGGTGAGGAGGCTCTCTCTGGTCTGTCTCTCTGTTTCCCTCTCTGTTTCCCTCTCTGGTTCTCTCTCTGGTGGCTCTCTCTGGTGGCTCTCTCTGGTGGCTCTCTCTGGTCTCTCTCCCTGGTCTCTCTCTGGTCTCTCTCTGGTCTCTCTCTGGTCTCTCTCTGGTCTCTCTCTGGTCTCTCTCTGGTCTCTCTCTCTGGTCTCTCTCCCTGGTATCCCTCTGGTGTCTCTCTCTGGTCTCTCTCCCTGGTCTCTCTCTGGTCTCCCTCTGGTTCCCTCTCTGGTGGCTCTCTCTGGTCTCTCTCTCTGGTCTCTTTCTCTGGTCTCTCTCCCTGGTATCCCTCTGGTGTGTCTCTCTCCCTGGTCTCTCCCTGGTCTCTCTCTGGTCTCCCTCTGGTTCCCTCTCTCTGGTCTCTCTCTCTGGTCTCTTTATCTGGTCTCTCTCTGGTCTCTCTCCCTGGTATCCCTCTGGTATCCCTTTGGTGTCTCTCTCCGGCCTCTATATGGTCTCTCTCTGGTCTCTCTCTCTCTCTCTCTCTCTCTCTCTCTCTCTGGTGTGGTCTGAGTGATGGTTCTGTAATCTGGTCTTGGGTCCAGTTCTGGTGTGGTGTGGGAGATGAAGCCGAAGAACCGCTGGAGACCGTTCAGTCTCAAAAACATCAGTCTTTTGGAGAAGAGCTACCAGAGCCAGCTCAGCGGGAGGGCAGAGACGGGATGGGTACGGCTGGACGGGAACCTCGAGGTGAGACGCACACACACACACACGCACACACACAGAGACACACACAGACGTAAGGCCACACTTGCGCGGTGCTGGTTACGTTGGACCTACGCAGCCACAGTTGCTGGTACAACCCCTTGCGGAGTTTTGAAGATAATGTTGTAATCCCACACCTCGTCAGAACAAAAACAAGAGTGAAGCTGTTTGAGATCATTACATGTGTTTCTACTGTAGGTTTATGTGACTGTTCTAAACTCATCGTTTCAACTCATTTAACTGTGATGCTGTGAATAAAGACACAGTTCTGTTGGAAACATAGTTATTATTAAAGTGTTTTCAGCACAAACAGAAAAACAATAAGTGGTAAATATCTGAGACAAACATGAACTATTTACAAGAAGAAGGAGGAACAGACGCAGCTACGATTCAAACAAGACAGGAACAGTTTATAAGTTATATATAAGTTATATATATGTTAGATATAAGTTGTATACAGTATATGTTAGATATGCAACAGAACTCTAGTCCACAGTCTCCTGTAGATCAGGCTCTGAGCCCAAACTACTTTTCCTTCGGTTCGTTCGAAGCACAAAACCGTCTGCTCCAAAGTGCCTCGTCCATGCTCCTGCAGCCGCTCTGTGCTTCACAGAAAGTAATCACACACGGACCAATCACAGCGGAGCTTCTCTGCGGCGACCCTTACGTAGGTAGACATTTTCTAGGGTGGACAGCAGGCAACGTAAGGGCCTGCGGTGATCCACGCGTTGTGCAAGTGACGTCACGTCACCACCGTAAGCTGTCACATGTGTACTCTGTGATGTCACATGTGTGCTCTGTGATGTCACATGTGTACTCTGTCACATGTGTACTCTGTGATGTCACATGTGTACTCTCTCCTTCAGGTCCTCCTCAGTGGCACGTGTGTACTCTCTCATGTGTACTCTCTCCTTCAGGTCCTCCTCAGTGGCACATGTGTACTCTCTCATGTGTACTCTCTCCTTCAGGTCCTCCTCAATGGCACATGTGTACTCTCTCATGTGTACTCTCTCCTTCAGGTCCTCCTCAATGGCACATGTGTACTCTCTCATGTGTACTCTCTCCTTCAGGTCCTCCTCAGTGGGACTAACATGATGATGCGACAGCCTCAGAAGTGTCCAATCAGGAGGAACTTCCTGTCTGGGATCCAAGTGGAGTTTAAGAAGTCTGAGCACCAGCGAAGCCTGAGGGCCCAGCTGCACTGGCTACAGGTATAAACACTGAATACAGGTACGACTACTGACTACAGGTACAAACACTGAATACAGGTACGACTACTGACTACAGGTACAAACACTGACTACAGGTACAAACACTGACTACAGGTACGACTACTGACTACAGGTACAAACACTGACTACAGGTACGACTACTGACTACAGGTACAAACACTGACTACAGGTACAAACACTGACTACAGGTACGACTACTGACTACAGGTACAAACACTGACTACAGGTACGAATACTGACACACAGGTACGAATACTGACACACAGGTACATGTGTCCTCAGGTGGATAACCAGCTTCCTGGAGCTATCTTCCCGATCGTCTTCCACCCTGTGCCTCCTCCTAAATCCATCGCTCTGGACTCAGGTTAAACAGAACAAACTGATCTGAATGGACTCCTCTCTCCCCTCTCTCTTCCCCTTCTCCTCTCTCCCCCTCTCCTCTCTCCCCTCTCTCTTCCCCTTCTCCTCTCTCCCCCTCTCCTCTCTCCCCTCTCTCTTCCCCTTCCCCCCCTCTCCTCTCCTCCCTCTCTCCTCTCCTCCCTCTCTCCTCTCCTCCCTCTCTCCTCTCCTCCCTCTCTCCTCTCTCCTCCCCCTCTCCTCTCTCTCCCCTCTCTCCTCCCCCTCTCCTCTCCTCCCCTCTCTCCCCTCTCTCTCTCTCTCTCTCCCCCCCTCTCCTCTCCTCCCTCTCTCTCCTCTCTCCTCCCTCTCTCTCCTCTCCTCTCTCCTCTCTCTCCTCTTCTCTCTCCCCTCCCTCCCTCTCTCTCCTCTTCTCTCTCCCCTCCCTCTCTCTCCTCCTCTCTCTCCTCTCTCTCCTCTCTCTCCTCCCTCTCTCTCCTCTCTCTCCTCTCTCCTCTCTCTCTCCTCCTCCCTCTCTCCCCTCTCTCCCCTCTCTCCTCTCTCTCTCCTCTCTCTCCTCTTCTCTCTCCTCTCTCTCCTCCCTCTCTCTCCTCTCTCTCCTCCTCTCTCTCCTCTCTCTCCTCCCTCTCTCTCCTCTCTCTCCTCTCTCCTCTCTCTCCTCCCTCTCTCCCCTCTCTCCTCTCTCTCCTCTTCTCTCTCCTCTCTCTCTCCCCTCTCTCCTCTCTCTCCTCCCTCTCTCCCCTCTCTCCCCTCTCTCCTCTCTCTCCTCCTCTCTCTCCTCTCTCCTCTCTCTCCTCCCTCTCCTCCTCTCTCTCCTCTCTCTCCTCTCTCTCCTCTCTCTCCTCTCTCTCCTCCCTCTCTCCCCTCTCTCCTCTCTCTCCTCTTCTCTCTCCTCTCTCTCCTCCCTCTCTCTCCTCTCTCCTCTCTCCCTTATTTCTATCACAAACTCCATGTTTTTCTCTTGTTCAGAACCAATGCCTTTCATCGATGTGTCCGTCATAACCAGGTTCAACGAGCACAGCAATGTCATGCAGATCAAGTGAGTGCGTGTCTGTGTGTGTACACCTGTGTGTGAGAGTGCGTGTCTGTGTCTGTGCGAGTGTGTGTGTGTGTCTACGTATCTGTGTGTGTGTGTGTCTCTGTGCGGCTGTGTGTAAGACAGCGTGTATATGACAGTGTGTCTGTGTGTGTGTATACGTGACTCTGTGTGTGTGTGTATATGTGACTGTGTGTGTGTATATGTAACTCTGTGTGTGTATATGTGACTGTGTGTGTGTGTATATGTGACACTGTGTGTATATGTGACTCTGTGTGTGTGTATATATGTGACTCTGTGTGTCTGTATATATGTGACTCTGTGTGTGTATATGTGACTCTGTGTGTGTGTATATGTGACTCTGTGTGTGTGTATATATGTGACTCTGTGTGTGTGTGTGTGTATATGTGACTCTGTGTGTGTGTGTATATGTGACTCTGTGTGTGTGTATATGTGACTCTGTGCACTTGTTTTCAACTCCTGGTGGGTTCCATAACCTGAGATTCCACTCACGTCATGGGGACTGGTTTTACGTGGTGGGGCCCGAACACCGGACCCCACTGGTCCAAGCTTAATAATCAATGGGTAATGCTTTTCTAACGGTCCTTATGCAGTCTCTGTAAAAATATGGAAAGGACCCCTGGAGGTTTACTTTCCTGAAAAAAGTGTGTTATGTGTCGGAACCCTGGTGGTGGGTTGCGGGATATCAAGGAGGGGCACACTGGGGCAATTTCAGTCCAGCAGGCTGGAGCCAATCATGGAGCAGCACAACAGAGGAAATCAGGTGTCAGGCTAGAAAAAGGTGCAAGTGTGTGGTTCATTAGGCTGCAAGAAATCACAGAGCAGCACACTGAAGCGCACGCTTACAAACCACTGGTAAGTGCTGACTACAAGTCATGACTTCAAATTGTTATATAGAATGATTACAAATTATTTGTTGTTTGTGCAGCTTAGTCAAGAGTCCCTAATTGATGAAGTCGACTCAGATTCTGACGATTTAACTGTCAAGAAGAAACCTGTAAAAAAGTATGGAAAAAGAAAAATCAAAAACACTTTTCTTCAAGACTCGGAAAGTGACGAACCAAAGGCAAATAAGATTGTTATCATGCAGCTGCAAAAGAAGAAAAATGGGGGGCGAGTATACAGCAAGAGACACTTCTGCCTCTACTGTTCAATGTCCTGCCACAAAATGTCCCGTCATTTGACTAGAAAACATGGAAATGAAAGTGACGTAGCCAGAGCATTGGCTCTACCTGTGAAATCTAAAGCACGTAAACTTCAGTTTGATTTGATCAGGAATAGTGGAAACCGTGAGCACAATTTTGAGGTTTTAAAGGCCGGCATTGGAACTTTAGTCCCAGCTAAACAGCCAAATTGCCCAGTTAAATCCAGTGAGTTTTTGCACTGTATAGACTGTGGGGCATTGCTTAAGCGAAAGTCGCTGTGGAGGCATGTGGCCAGGTGCCGGCTTTCACAGAAAGATGCCCAGGCTAAAC